CACACACACACACACACACACACACACACACACACACACACACACACTTTATGAGCCAAACTAACCCTCTCCTTCAGGGCCCCGAATAAACCACTTAGTAGTTGAAAGAGCGGCGGCAGAAAGATTCCTTTACTGTTCAGCAAGAGTTGGGAACCTGGGAACGAAAACCTCTGGACCATCTCTGCGCTCGGTGGCTGCGGACCCAGAGTTTAAAAGCACATGGCTTGGGACTGGAGACTGAGCCCCGGAGAGGGAGGAAAAAAAGAAGGGAGACCGCGAAGATTGTACAGGAGGAGCTGTTCCCCATCTTCCCCTAGCCCTTGATTTTTCCCCTTTGCTTTCCCATTTCATCTCTTCACAGCTCAGCTCGGGACACCCAGGAGGAGAAGCAGCGCTGTCCAAAATGGGGAAGCAGCTATCGGAGACGCTGGGTACACGGGGGTTCCATGGGAGGGGAGTAGACTGGGATTGGAAAGCCGAGCCCAGACTGAAGAGCCCCAGCTACTAAGCTTTAAGGCACACGCCCCCCCCCTTTAAGTTAGAAGGCGACCGTTTTTCTTAAAAAATAAAAACCCAGTGTTTTCGTCTGCTCATTCTTTTCCTAGAAATGTGATGGTGGTTGAATTTGAAGGTGCCATCCTCCACCACCTTCTCCTACTTTGCCCTCTAAAATTTTTGACACCGATGTACTTCCGAGCAGGAAATTTAGCCTTTCCTACCGGCTTCCCTCCTCAGCCCGAGCACGCCCTTCCAGGCTCCTCGGCTCCGCCGCCCCAAGCTCTGCACCCGCCTACGGTTCTGTCCCCCATTCAGCGCTTCCACCAGGGGGTGGTCGGACTCTCGGGAGGGGTCCTTAGCACCCCTGGGACAGAGAGAAGGGAAGAGGGAGAGGGAGGCATTTGCCTCCTGGGAGAACCAGTAGAGCCGACAGATTGAGGTTAATGCCAGAGCACTAGACAAAAAGGAACGCGAAAAAAGTGAGGCAAAGACCTATTAGCCTCTTTCCCCTACCCTATTTCTCCCCATCCCTTCGGTGCGAGCGTACCCGAGCCAAAGCCTAATTTCGGCTTGGACCATGGTATTTCTGACACTGATTGCTACCTCTCATCGTTATTTCTGTATCTCAGTTTATTTCTATTGCTATTTTAAATTCCATTTCTAATTCTCTTATTTCTGTTGTGCTTAAATAGTCTCCATTTCTAGTCTTTCTGTGCTGTCCCCCTTTCTCTTTTATTTTCTTTCACTCCTAGAATCACTATGGCTTTCCCTCCGGGAATGGTGTGGAGGGAGGCCGGGTGGAGTATAAGGGACTCTAGTCTCTTTCTCGCAGGGGTCCCGTCCCCCTGGGGTTGAGAAGCCTGGGCAGGAGGCAAGCGATGGGCAGGGAGCAGGAGAGTGATTCCCCTCTCTCTAGGGCGGCCTCGTAAGGATGAGAGGTTCGACCGCAGGAGACTAGGGGAGATGGTCTGTAATTGAAACAGCTCTATCATCAAAGCCTCTCGGATCAGAGTCTGACTCCTTCCAGCTGGGAGCTACAGGGGAGCTAGCTCTGCTTGGCTGGGAGCAGAAATGCTACCTCTTACACACACCCACACACACACGCACACACACACACACACACACACCCCACCACCACCACCACCACCACCACCACCACCACCATCACTCCACTCTTTTATTCTGTTTGACCAATTTTTTAAATTCTCTTTTCTCCCACATACCCCGACACCTAATCCGTGATTTCTGCGGTCTCCGTAGCCTCCATTTACCGGGAAAGGGTGGTGGGGTGGTGGAGGGAAATGGGAGAAAGAGAAGTGTAAATCGCCCCCCATACCTACACCCCCCATTCTTGAGTTCCCCTGGGGGAGCCACGGAAACCAGCCCCTCCTTTCCCTTAGCGTCGACCAAATAGTGCCCGCTCCCCTCCGCCCCACATCGTGCCCCCCCCTTTCCAGGCCCTCCAAGGGGCGTAGCCCCAGTTCTTTAAATCTCCCCACCCACCCCCTTCCGCGAGCCAATCAGTACCGGCCTGTACCTCTCCCCCTCCCTCCCCTCGAATGGGGAGGAGAACCCAGGAGACCGGACTGGGTGTCACGTGCGAGGACGAAGTCACGTGGCAGGAGGCAGGGAGGGAAAGGGGAGTCATTTCGTGCGAGCGTATTTCTTAATGAAGCGGGGAAGGAGGGTGAGGCGCATGCGCCCCGGGCCAATGAGGGAGCGGGGGGGGCGGGAAGAGGAGGGAGGAGAGGAGGAGGAGGAGGAGGAGGAGGGAGGAGGGAGGAGAGAAGAGGGGGAGGGGGAAAAAGGGGAGCGAGTTGTTTCCCTCGCTCTCTCCCTCGCTCTCTCCCTCTGGCAAGTGGAGTTTTTAAAAAGCTCGAGCAGATCATGTCATGACGACTTCGCTGCTCCTGCACCCGCGCTGGCCGGAGAGCCTTATGTACGTCTATGAGGACAGTTCGGCTGAGAGCAGTGGAGGAGGAGGCGGCGCCGGCGGCGGAGGAGGCGAGGGAGGCGGAGGAGGCGGCGGCGGCGGCTGCGGAGGAGGAGGCGGCGGCGGAGGAGGGGGGGGGAGCTGCAGCGGAGCCAGCCCCGGCAAAGCCCCGATCATGGACGGACTGGGCGGCAGCTGTCCCTCCAGCCACTGCCGGGACCTGCTCACCCACCCGGTTCTGGGCCGGCCTCCGGCTCCCCTGGGCGCTCCGCAGGGCGCCGTCTACACGGACATCCCCGCCCCAGAGGCGGCCCGCCAATGCCCGCCGCCGCCGGCGCCCCCCACCTCGTCCAGCGCTACCCTAGGCTACGGCTACCCGTTCGGGGGCAGCTACTACGGCTGCCGCCTATCCCACAACGTGAACTTGCAGCAGAAGCCCTGCGCCTACCACCCCGGGGACAAGTATCCCGAGCCGTCGGGGGCTTTGCCAGGAGATGATTTATCCTCCAGGGCCAAGGAGTTCGCCTTTTACCCCAGCTTTGCCAGCTCCTACCAAGCGATGCCCGGCTACTTGGACGTGTCCGTGGTGCCGGGCATCAGCGGTCACCCCGAGCCCCGCCACGACGCCCTCATCCCCGTCGAGGGTTACCAGCATTGGGCGCTCTCCAACGGCTGGGACAGTCAGGTGTATTGCTCCAAAGAGCAGTCGCAGTCAGCCCACCTCTGGAAGTCTCCTTTTCCAGGTAAGGGGCTTTTCTTGAGTGACACAACCCCATCCTCATCACCATTTCCCGCCTCCCACCCCCCAACCCCCCCTCCGCACACACCCTGGGGCTCCGCACCCCAGCCACCCCCGCTGTCTGGCCCCGGCGCGCCCGGCTGCTGAGGGAGCCGGCCGGGCGAGCTGGGTTGAGGAATGCGCCGCTGAAGGAAATCTGCTCCGACACGTTCCCTTGAGCTGCCCCGCCGAAAGTGAAGCAATAGCAGGCGCCCGAGCGCCTGGCTCCCCGGGCTTCCAGCGCCCAGGGAGTACCGGCTCCGGCGCCCTTCACACTCCCAGGCCGAGACACACAATTGGCCTGATTTATAAAGCCAAAAACCAAAACAAACAACAACAAACAAAAAAGGAAAGAAAGAAAATGCTATGCAGGATTTTAAAACATGCTCCTCTAGCCGAATTGCCCAGGTATTTCGGGCACCACTGAAGTTCTTTAAAGACCCTGAGTTAGTCAGATGGTTTGGATACATTTAGCCATAGGACTTCCCCCCCCTTAATTATCGTGGTTGTTGGGGACCTTGTAACTCTAACACCCTTGCCTGTCAGGAAGATTAGTCCCTTCTCTAATTTTTGGAGCTCAAATCTGGTTAACTTTCTCTCCTTAAAACAACAACAAAAACAGGGGTAGCGTCCCTGGACCCCTTGATCCAAGAAACATGGAGACCGTTTTGGGGAGGGTACCCACAGCATCGAGAGGCATAGATGGTAACTAGAAGGAACTAGAAGAACAGCTCCCTAGGCTGGGGGGTGAGGTGGGTGGAAAGAAAAAAAAATAGTGTGTCTGTGTGTGTATGGGAGGAGAGGAGATGGAAAGACGTGGATCTTCTGTCACCTCCTTCACTGTACTTTTGGGTGCATTCATTCTCCACCTGGGGGAGACCAAAAGCGATGCTTCTAGAGAAAGGAATCATTCGGTAGTCCCTATCCCCCTCCACATAGGAAGAAAATTAGAGTGGAGAGATTTGGGTATGGGGGGTGTCTCCTAATAGAGGAGATTCAGCCCTGACGTAAAGAAGGAAAGGCAGACATGGGACATCAAGGGTCGGATGAAAACCTGTCTTCGTTTGGATATCTTCCTTCGTCCTCTTAGCTTCTCCTATGCCAAGAAAAAGAAGTCGGAGGGACCAACGTGAGAGAGCTACAGGACTACTATACACCCTTATTGAAGATCCTGGGGGTTGGGGGTTGGGAGGGGAGTGTCAGCCCAGAGCAGGCTACAACCACTCTCCATCTGGGATCACTCTCTGTGATCTCCCGTGCTAGAGGTGCAGAATAAAGAATAAAAGATCTCTCTAGGGTTGGGCCTGAGAATCCTCGGTATACAGGATTGGAAGAAGAAGATGAGCTTGACATTGTCGAAACATAAATAGAACTGCACACAACAGACCACACCGATTCAATCTCATTTTTAGTTCTATTATAGGAAAAAGGAATCCTGCTATACAGGCTACACACAGCATCAATTTACAGGGTCATAGTCCTAGGTTAAACACATACATACATTTGGATGTATGTCCCAATAATTCTCCATCTGCAGTTCCTGACCCTTTCATCATCTAGTCAAACAGAGCTTTTCTGGAAATCAACTCCCAAGAAGGAAAACGGGTGGAGGGAGACCTCCTTGTGCCTTCTAGGAACAGGCCATAGTAAGGGGCATTATGCTACCCTCTCCCAAAGGCTGGACAGCAGGCAGAGGATTGGAACTGGTAAGGCAAAGGCATTAGAGACAGCTTGGGGGACTAAGGGGCCTAGGAGGATGTGGAACCTTGGAGTTGCGCAGAGTAATCTCTGTGCAGATGAAGAGCTCTGAAATATCTTCCTTCCAGCAAGTGTCCTCTTAGCCTAGCCTTCTAAAGGAAAACTAATAGAGCTTTAAAATAAAAATAAAAAACTAAGCTCAATTAAGACAGTCCTGGGAGATTTACTAAATGTATAATGTATAACATATAATGTAAAATTCAGTGTCTCAGCAGTTACATCTGTATATATTATATACACTTGTCGATTATATACACACATGCATGTACATGTATTGGTATGTGCATATATGTATATATTGACATGTGCCTTGTGCACTTCTACACATATGGATGTGATGAATTAGTACAGAGAGATAAGGTAGATTAAATCCAAACACATTTTTATCTTAAAATGTGTCTCCATCTTTTTGCCTATGTCTTTAGACTTATAACATCCTTTAGAAGGACCAGGATTTAAAGGTTAGTCAGCGAATGTTGTTTAGAATACATACAGGTATATACATGACTGTCTCTCTTTTGTATCTGTGATTGAATGGGACTTGATCTCCATATGAAGAATGAGATAGAGAACAGTAAACTATTAGTTAGAAAAAGACAGATAATGGGGGGGTGGCATGTTTCCTAGTGGTTTAAAAAAAAAATCTCTATTCTGACCCTTCCCTTGGAATTATCCACATAATTGCCTCCCTTCCACATTTCATTTTCAGTGCAAGTGTAGAAACGTTTGCTGAGAGAACCAGAGGGAAAGAGGGGCAAGAGAAAAGAGGGAAAGGAAGAGAGGAAGAAGGTGGAGATGGAAGAAAAAGGAGAGGAGGGGTAGAGAGAGAAGGAGCAGAAAAAAGAGGGAAAGGGAGGAGAGAAGCAGAGAAAAAGAATGGAGAAGTGAAAAAGGAAGAAGAAAAGAGAGGGGGAGAATGGGGAAAGAGAAGATATAAGGGAAGAAAAAGGGGAAGAAACAGAAGGAAAGTGGAAATGCTGGGCTCCCGAATGTACTTGAGAAAGATCCTACTGACAAATACTTCAGTTTTGAGTAACCAAGATCCTGATGCCACTGAGAATGTGGGAGCAGGGGCAAAACGCGCCCAGAGTCAGACATGTGGCCAAGGCTACACTGTTTTGGTGAACTGAGAATGTTGGGGATGTGGGATGGGGGTGCACAAAGATATGAACAGTTTTTGTCTTTAGCACTGAGTCCAGCGAAGACTGAGAATTTTCTCATTTTCATTTGATCCACAAACCACATATTTCAAGCTGCCAAGTGGAATTTGGAGGAGGGCATGAATACTTTGGCTTGGTCTTCGAATTAGCTGGAGCGCCGCCAGGTTTGCTGACTTTCTGCTCCGTGCCGAGGAGACACAACTCTGGGTCTCCCGTGGCAGAAGTCCCCCATCTCTCCATCTGCACACTCATACTTATTTCTAAATAGCCTAGTTGAAGTGAAGAAGGGCCTTTTACAGCAAGTGGGAAAGTGGGCCGTTTTCTATGGAGACTAAAACAACTTATTTACTTTTAGGGGGAGAAAGACCCCACCTCCATCAAACTGGTTCTTTAGCAACATATATACGAAGTAATAGGTCGTGTTCCTGTTATATACTCTCTGAAAGTATAGCTATAAAGGGGTGTGTGCTCCAAGCTAAGTAGAAAGTTTGTTGCAATTATTTGGAGTAATAATTTAGCTAATTTACACACACAAACCACCCCGCTTCCTCAACACACTAATGTGTAGTTGAGTTCTATGCCTGTTTCTGTGATCATAGAGACGGCGATACCAACGTTGCTAATCTGAAAGTGGGGATGATTGTTCAAGGGGGAAAAAAACATTAAATTCAGCAAGCCAGCAGATCCAAGGAGAAAAAGATGTTGAATGCATGTTTTCCTGGTTGTCCAGCAATTGTGCTGGGATTGGAGTTGTGTAGACAGTGAAGTCATGGCCATTCGGGATTCTGCTCTTCACTTTCCATTCCCGCTCTTTCCGTTCCAGAGACTATTTTTTCTTTAATAATTTGGATGGTTACCCCACAGTAGCCATCTAGTCCCTGTAATACACAGGGCCTAAATGATTGCAGATGAGAGTTTGTGGGACTGGGAACCTGCCAGAGTGTAGTGGGTGAGAAGAGCAAGGGTCTGCTCTCCTGTGGACCTTTTCATATCCTGTTCTCCCTGGCAGAAGGTTTGCCTGCATTCCTGAGATCTATCTGCATTGGCAGTAGAGAGAGTGGAGGTACCTTCCCTTCCTGACCTATCCATTTCACAATACAATTTGTCCTGAAATATCCACAAAATTAAATGCAAAAATTGGGGGGAATTTGTTGGGGGGGGATCTTTTTAATTATTTGGGAGGGAAGCATTACAGGATCTGAATGATTGCCCCAATTTTCCGTTTCTCTTGGGAAGGTGGAGGAGGCTTGTTGAGGGGATGGGGGGTGAGGAGGAAGGATGAAGTTACTTTTCTTCCTTGATCTGGTTTTCTGAGCCTGAAGAAAGGGAATATTGGGGGAGTGAAAAGGTGTGTGTGTGTGTGTGTGTGTGTGTGTGTGTGTGTGTGTGTAAGACACAGAGTCTCCCAGACTCAGAGAGAGAAGGAGATTGAACTGGGATACCTATAAAGAAGTCAGCACCTCTTTAATGGTCTGTTGGGAGTCAGAAGCAAAGTTTCCATCTCTAAGAAGGGGAAAGGAGAAGAAAGAAGTGAAGAAAGAGCTGTTCTCTCTGTCTTACCCAGCAGGGTGGGGTAGGGGGCTTCTTCTGACTCACCCAACAACAGGAAAGCCATTGAAGACACATGGTGAGCAGGGAGAGCATGCCTGTGCCCAGAGAAACCTTCCACTCAAAGAAGGTCACCCATGAGATACCACAGTTGGGACTTTCTTACCTAAGGCCAGTTTGTGGACCATCATTTATGGGGGTGACTGTATCCCCCTTCAAGGACTTGCTTTGTTTTTCTCACCAACTGTACCTGTTTTAATAAGGAATACCCAAGACCAGAAGGAGAATGCAAAAGGGAATTTCCCCCATCATTGTGTCAGGGTTTCTTGGCAGGAGGAGGGAGGCCAAGTCTAAAGGGGCAGTAAAATAATGAAGTTTCTTCCTTCTCCCCCCCAACCTTTTTACCTTTCCCCTTGACCTCCTTTCCCTACGTAAAATCAAAGAAAACATCATCAAGACTTCTCTTGTTTTATTTGTCAGAATGAGGCAAAAATGTGACAGGTTTGGGGCATGAATTATCTAGCTACTGGAGATAAATTCATTGTTTAAAACACATAATAAAAGCCAAGGTGAATTGGGGGCTGTTGTTTGAATTATTCAGATAATCGAGGTGCATTGGGCTAGGAGAGAGCCCAGGTCACTGGGTTTGAATTACTGAAACCAAAATTGGGGATGGGGAAGGCCGTGCTGAATCATTGAGGGAGTTACATCTTTGGAGGGGCTTTATTCCAATCCTCAAGTTCCAGCCTTCTATACCTCACCCACTTCCCACCGGGGAGGAGGTTAGGCCCCGGATGTTGGCTTCATCTTACGGATTCTCTCCCGTGTTTCTCCCCAGATGTAGTCCCCCTGCAGCCTGAGGTCAGCAGCTACCGAAGGGGCCGAAAGAAGCGAGTGCCCTACACCAAGGTTCAGCTGAAGGAACTCGAGAAGGAGTACGCAGCCAGCAAGTTCATTACCAAAGAGAAGAGGCGGCGGATCTCAGCCACCACCAACCTCTCAGAACGCCAGGTCACCATCTGGTTCCAAAACCGTCGAGTCAAAGAGAAGAAGGTGGTCAGCAAAGCTAAGGCACCCCATCTCCACTCTACCTGACCTTGGAGCCCTGAGCCCCACCCCCCCCGTGCCTCCCTACCTATTTATATCCTACTTTGTACCATAAAAGGAGCCCACCGATGGACACTTTGCCAGTGAATCGATTATTTAATATTAATACTAATAAATAATATTAATGTGGAGAAAGAGGGGGAAGAGGGAAGGAAAAAAGGAAGGAAGGAAGGAAGGAAGGAAGGAAGGAAGGAAAGACTTTGGTAGTGGGTGTGGAGAGGGTATATACACATCCCCCTTTCCCCACCCCACTACTGTTCCAGGTGGAAAGTAGAGCTTTGGATCCAGAAATATTTGGTCTCATATAGGGGCTGGATTCCTAGTCAGTGGCTGGGGAGAAGTTTAGGTACAACCTTCAGGAAGAAGGTCGAGCCTCCATCGTCCTCTTCCTCATCGTATCTTCCTTCCCAGCCACTCACACGTTGACCCTCACTTCCAGACCTCAGCAAAAGATGTGGAAGGTAGAGATGAAGTTTAGTATCATTCCAGTAGAATCCAGATTTTTGACTCTGCCCCCGGTATTGCTGGGAGCAATATGAACTCCCCCTAATGAAGTCTTGTGGGGTAGGATGTAGAGGGCTAACTTTTCCCTCTCAGATCTTCACCACTTCCTGTTGGGCAATTGTTTAGAAAGGTATCCCAATAAGTTGTGTATATATTTTAAAAGTCATATTAATATTAATAATAATTATGTTTTGGCCTGGGAGTTAGGGGGAGTCCAAGACCCAGTGCCTGGGCCTGCCTTTTGTATCTCTACTATATTGTTCCTTCCCAAGTTTTAATCCTCACCCCTTGTAGCCTTGTCCTGCTTCTGTGGCTCCCCCAAAAGTCCTAATCTGGAGGACCTTCAGATGTCAAGGCCCCAGTCCTGGATCACCCCAGAAAGCTCTTGTCCTGAGCCTGTGTCGGGCTCTTCCCACCACATCTCTCCTCACTCTACTAGAAGTCCAAGAAAGACACAAAGGTAACCAAGCTGCTAACATGTTTGTTTTTTACTGAAAATGAGGAGGGAGCTAGGAATCCATTTTATTTTAAGGGGAGAAAACCCCACAAATTTCACTTAAAAATGAACAGGAGAGAATCTCACACACCAGAAGTTTCCTTTCGTCTTTGCCTAGACTTCAGACTGCTTCCACACAAAGAGAACCATTTCTGATCCAAATCGTTTTGGCCCCCAACACTTTACTTGACCTCCTCCAGGATCCAGATTCTTCAAGCAAAATCAGTTTTCTTGGAGGGGCCTGAACTAATCCTGCTTTCTGGGGCAAAGTAGATATGTCTTAATAGTTCCTTCCATGATGATCAGTTCTGGGCTATTGGGGTTCCAGGCTTTTTCCCAGTTCTCTCCCACCCTCCACTAGCACCTCACAAAACAGTGTTTTTTGGAAAATGTCACTCGAAAATCTCTCTCTCTCTCTCTCTCTTTTTTAATGTCTTGTATCTGTATATAGTATCGTGGTGTCTGAATGACAATGTACTGAATGCAAAAAGAAAAAAATAACAACAAACTTGTTTTTAAAATAAAATATCTTTTTTTTGGCCTTGACATCATTTCTCATATTCCTTAAAAATCCTGTCCTGTCTTACTGAAGCCACTGAGGGCTCTCCCCCATCACTGCAGTATCTACATAGTACAAACACAGAGGAATTGGCTTCACTGGAACTCAATTGGCTGAGCATCTGACTGAATAGTACCTAAACCTGTATTTTCTTTCTGAAGAATAATCTGGGTTAGTTGTGGCTATGTAGACATAGTCTTTGAGATTAGAAATCAGAGAGTAGAGCAGGAAAAAGATATCATGGGGACATGATACATGTTGAATCTGGTTTGAGTACAATATGATGGCTTTGTGAGATGAAAAAAAAAAGCCTAGGAAACTTAGATGGTCAAATGAGTGAAAGGGGCATTTCTCTTTGGATGTAAGTGGGGAAACTAAACCAGTGTGGATAGAGTCCCTCTCCAGGGTGAGGGAGAAGTTTCATATGGGATTCTGGTTGTCAGATGTCAATCAGAGTCAACTGAGGCCTTGAAGTATTTCTGCTACCACCGTGTCTACAACCTGTTCTCTCTTTCAATTGAGTCTAGCTCCAAGGAGAGTAGGGAGGGAGCCAGTGTCTGGTTCACAAACAGAGCTGGAGGCTACAAATACAGAGAACAGAGACTGCCCCTGGAGATATCAGAGATCCCCTTATCCAGTCCCACACCCCCAGAACCAAGTGGAACCAACAGCAGTGAAAGGACCTTTCAGATCCTATCCACTGGACTCCTTCAGAACCGAAAAGCTGGTTAAATCTGTCCCATTTTTTTCTGTAGTATCTTGGGGGGTAGGGGGATCTGGGGACCAAACGGCTGAATCAGCCCACTACTCTTTGCCTGTGTAGACGTGGCCGCTAATTTGTTTCTCTGGTCTCGTTCAGTTCCTATCTCCCTATCTGGCTGAGTTAATGAGATCGTTAAGTTGTCAGGTTAAGAGACTTTTAAAAAGCAATATAGCCTAAAACAATGTTATCTCAGATTAAATCTTTATTGCGGCAATTTTTATTTATATATAATATTTTCTTTTCTCCTGAGACGCAGAAAGACCCGAGGCAACGGGTTGGAAATCGGAGAAGTTTTCTTGACTCCGCATTGATTGCCTTCATGCCGGGTGCCTCAAACCTTTTCCAATTCCATTTAAATAAACGTGTCCCGTGGGTAGCAAGATTCTTTCTTTCCCCCCACCTCCAAACCGGAGATCCCAACGACCAACAGAATTATTTCTCTCCTCTTCTCCTCCAGCATTTCCCATTCCCCCACCCCTACTCAGTCAACGTTGTCTAAGTGGTCTCAATTTTCCGGGAGATTCGGAGTAGGCAACTAGCTCCTTGCGTCTAAACGGGCTGAGGAATCTCAGCGCTGGAAGCCCGTTCCCCCAGGAAGGGAATTTATCCCTAATATACTGTGTCCCTCAGCCTTCCCCTCCAACCAGAAACCACTTTGTTCTACTTTGAAGATAGAGATGGTTGGGGGAAAGGAGCAACTTTGGAGAGCTGAAGAGAGAGGCTTGTGAGGTCTTGAGCTCTGGAAGAGGGCATTCAATGAGGCTCCCCAATACTTCTAAGAAGCCTCTCATTTTCTTTATCAAGAAAGGTACTAAAGACTGAGTAGATTGGTTCGTGAGAGGATAGAACAGCAAACCAGCAAACCAGCAAATCGGGAATCTGTGGAAAGGGTAGCCCCTAGTTCCTGTAGAGGGGCCATCTCTCCATCAAATACAATCATACTCAGGGCCCACCTTCAGCCCCTGCAGAGGGATGGGAGACCACGAAGTTGAGACTTTTAATTTAGAAGAGACAGGCTGGTTCTTTGGTGTTTTGTAGATATTCAGAGAGGCTACATTCCCTCCCTCCAAAAGATTGTATTAGTATGAACGTGATAGGAAGGGAGAGGGGAAAGGGGGAGGACAGTCTTGTTGGGCTCCTAAATTGGATGATTTTGCACCATACCTCTCCTCCCAAGAGGTACTTTGGATGACTTAAGAAGGAGATGTGTGAATGTGGGTATGACTGAAAGACAGACAAACAGGCCAACACACACAGGGACTGTGTTGTGTAGAAAGATACGTTTGTTTGGATCTGTGTGGTGTGAGAGGAACTAGAAAAACACTTTTTCTTCCTTGATAACTTGTCTTAGCAGCCTAAGAGTAAGTGTATAGTGTTATTTTTAATAATTTACATATTTCTAAGTGTAAATTCATATAAATGGTCTTACGTGCCCAAGAGGATGTGTGTATCACTAAACCAGTATTCTTTCTTAATTTGTTTCATACCTGAGTGTCATATGGACATGTAAATATATATTGGGTGAACATGTGTGTGCCTGGAGTGAATGTATGAATGAATCCTTATGTTTCTTCTAAATTACAACCGCTAGTGCATTTCCCTCTCTCAGATAGTCCCAAAATGTGTGCTACAGCCTTTGTGTGTGACTGTGTGGCTATATAGGAGTGAATATTTGGTGTGAGTAAGTGTGCCTGTGCATCTATGGAAGGTGTGGCTGTATGTGAAGTAAAGAAGATTGTATATGAAAGAATGTAATGTGTCTAGCCACATCAAAATATTAAGGTAGGGGGAATTCTTCTTTCCAGAAAACTGGGATCCTACTTATTCCCTTTTTTGAAAATCCTAACTCTTAAAATTTCAGATGGCCCTCAATTTTGGCCTCTAAACCTTGCTCTCTCCATTTCTGAGAGCCTTTATCCTCTATGGTTGCCCTCCTACAGAATGATCCCAGGACAGGGAAGGGGCATTCCTGGAAAAGTTGGGCATCCCTCACTCCACCGCAGGATGCGGGATTTAGGGCAGAGTACACAGAGATCTCCTGCAAAGGGAAATATGCACACACACCTGGAGCCGACCAAGTCCACGACATTTTCCATGAATTTGTCCCCTTCTTGGTCACTTTCTCCTCCACCCCACTCTCTCCAGTGGCCATCTTGTTGATCTATTGCTGCTAAAGGCAGGTTCTTAGGTGGGGAAGGAAGACACCAGTGCCCATTCAGTTCAAAAGGAGCACAGCCTGTGTCCGAGGCTCATGATTATCTTCCTAACCTTTCCTTGTTTATTGGGCTGTCCTCTCTGCTCAGGGGTCAGGTCTTGTGTGAAATTCATTCCTAAGCTCTGTGAGAGAGGAAGTAGGGGAGAGAAAGGCGACAGACCCCCAATATTACTGTCCAGGACCCTGCCCCACACCCCTGGTTTAGCACTGAGCTCCTCCCCCTCCCCTCACCACAAATAGCAAAGTTCAGACAGATGTGTCCATTGACCACAATATCTGGGCGCTTGGGAGGGAGGATTGGGGGCTTCAGAGGCGAAGGAGCCGATGAGAGGGGGGAATTAAGGGGGGAGAGCACCGGCAACCAACCAGGTCTCTTCTTCTTTTAGCCTTGACCGTGACTAGGTCTTTCTGACCTTGACATCACAGGGAGCGGTGAGTGATGGAGAGGAGGAGGGCGGGGGGAGGGGGAGAAAGCCTTGATCTTCCGGTGGCCAGAGAGGGGGAGGGCCGACTCGTCTTCCCCTTCTTCTCTTCCATCCCCTCCTCCTCTCCCCCCACCCTGCCAGGAAGCCCACCCGCTTCTGTTTACAGATAGAGGAGGTGTCGTCTTCAGTCTAGACAGGGAAGCTAATAACACCAATAAAAGGAGGAGAGAAACTGTCCCTAAGTCTTCTCCCTATTCTTCAGCCTTTGGTTGGGGCGCTTCCTCCCCCACCCTCCTCAGCCACCCTGGCTTTAACTTTCCAATTAGGGCTGGGGGGTGTGAAGAAAAAAGAGAACTTCGTGATGCTAACAGCACCCCCCTCCCCTTCGACGATAGTCACAGAGGTAAGTTCTTGCCGCGGTTGATCCGGGCTACACTCCAGGGTAACTGACCATTTACTAGCCAGACGGCAAATTGGGTTGTCTCCCCGGGTCTTGATCTCTCTCCCCATTCCCATCCAGCCGTCATCTTCCACCCTACCCCAACTTTCCCAGGAAAAGAAAGGAGAAAGTCGGGATATCTACTCCTTCGATTGGAGAAGGGAAGGAGAGAAGGTTGAGATTCCACCTTTCTAAGGGTTTCAAACCCAGTAGAAGCCTGAAAGCTGGGCAAGAAAAGGGCCAACGTCTGGACGCTTTACCGTAGGCCACGGTCACGGCCAGCCTGCCGAGGCAGAGGTGTATAGGGCTAATCCTCCTCCACCATCACCACCACCACCACTACCACCACCACCACCACCACTACCACCACCACCACTCCACCCCGCCACCTTCCTTCGGAAGGCTGTGGGAGAGAAGAGAGCAAAGGGCAGAGGGGAGGGGAAGGGAGTGCCAGTAGCAGCGTGGCTACCAGGGAAGGGGGCAGAGGTTCTAGGATTGAGAGGTAAGGCACAGGAAGCACTAGTCTTGTGGGGCCTTCTGTGGTGGTGTGTGGGTGTGGTGTTTTAGAGATTTTTTTTTAAGCTTGATCCCTGCACCTTTCTGGAGTCTTGGTCGTCCCTGACAGTAATTCACTAGGCGGAGGAGATCCTCTACTGGCGGCGGAGGGAAAAATGTAATACAACGAAAATATTTAACTGTTAGCTTTCCAACCTTGCTTCCTGGAGAAGGGAGCAGGGCTCCCATTTCTCTCTGGATGGGGAAGAAGGTGAAAAAAATTAACACTCGCATAGTTTCTTTTCGCTTCCTCTCTACTGGGAGGTGGCCCTCGTAGTGTCTTGGACTATGAAGGTGTTTCCCCTTCCTCCCATCCCCTCCCTCACTATCACTTTCTGAACTGTAATCCGGGGCTTCGAGGTGCACCTCTGGGTGGGGGGAGACTAAGACAAGGTCAATTGATTTGTTGGAGATGAGGATGGGCTCCTAGACCCTAAAGCCAAGCCCAGACTCTCCCATCCTAGGTCTTTCCCCCAGTTAGCACAGTCTCCGCCCCCCCATTCCATCTCCATCCTCACCCTCTACCAATCTAAGCCTGTAGAGATGA